TGGCATATACCCAAAGGACTCATCCTACTGTAGAGATACCTGTACATTCATATTTGTTGCTACTCTTTTCACAATAGTCAAGAAATGGAGACAATCTAAATCTCTCAACTGATGGATGGATAATGAAAATGTGGTACATTTACACAATGGAGTTCTACTTAGCAGAAAAAAAAGATGAAATTTGAAATTTGCAGGTAAATTGATGGAACTAGAAACTGTTATACTAAGTGAAGTAACACAGACTCAGAAAAGCAAGTGATGAATGTTCTCCCTCCTTTGAGGATCATAGCACCAATCCATTATATGTGAGTATATATCCCAATGTAAAACCAGGAGCCAGGAAAATGGGAAGGAAGCACAGAGATAAGGGGAAAGAAAGAACCCAAATGAGGATAGTAGGGAACAGATGTCACCAGGGGGGAGGTAGGGAAAGTGGGAGTGTTTGGCTGGAAGGGTAGGAGAAAGAAACATGCAGGGGACCATGGAGGTGGGGGGAGGGACCTCAGGAGAGGGAGGATGGTGGGAGGTGGATGTTATGGGGAGAGGGTGGGGAAAATGGGGGCACTCGGCGTAGAGAGAGAGGAGGGAGATTGGACTGGGGAGAGAGAGGAGAGATGAATGGACCTTGGGTGGTATGGGAAGCCAGAGGGAAATGTGTTGGCTCAGGAACCCCCTGAGAAATACACATACAGTGTCTGAACATTAGTGCATGTGTGTATTTGGGGGCTGTATGGCAAGGAGTATAGTGCCAGACAGGAGAGATCTTCTTTTGAGTTGTTGGGTCAGAGTAGTCCAAGAGATTCTCAATATATCAGAGGCTATTGCTGGAGCCCTTGGTTATCTCCCAGATCTCAAAGGTAAGACCCTACTGCTGAAGACAGGACATACTTGGACACAGGACTTGGAGCAATGGAGCTAGAAGAGACTTGGAAACCTTCTTCATGAAGACTAGTGCTCATAGTTCTAGAGACTGCTATCCAAGCTGCTAAGGGAGAAAATCAACCAATGGTCCAATCCAGCCCTAAAGCCTAATAACCATAACAGCTGGCACAGCAGACTAACTCCATTGGTGCAATAGTGGCACTGCTATCTAGGGGGTAAGCAATAGCTATCTAATTGAACTTAAAGCCCTCACAATGGGAAGGAACTTATGTATAGCCAAATATACATGGCTGGAGAGGTCATAGATCCTAGAGAAAACCTTATCTTTGTCATATCTCTGGACAAATGAAATTTCTTAGCCATATGCTAAATACGGATCATTATATTTACAGACAAGTATATCATACACCACTCTTTGCAACAAATGGAGGCTATTTCAGCGTTCCACAACTGGTCACACACAGAGAATATACATCTAAGAGATGCCCAGTCCTAGGTGACATATCTACACTGGAACCTCTACACTTAAGGCTCCTGGAACACAGCAGAACGGGGGTGGAGAGAATAGTAGTGCATACCCAGCTCTCGCCAACAAACTTCCTTATACAATAGTGTGTTGCACACAAAAGTCCACATTAAGTTTTAGAGAGTAAGAGACTACAGAGTATATGTCACTGGATAGGACTTCTTCATTAAACCTCACCCACCCATAGCTCAGGGACCACTGCAGAAGATGGGGCAGAAAGAGTGTAAGAGTCATGGTTGATCCATGAACATAGGGCAACAAAGGCTTTCAGGCCACTGAACTTGATCGTGCAGCTCATGAACTTGCAGCAATAGTGGCTTCATGAACAAGACCCATGCTGACTCATTCAGACAAGGGTCCAGAGTGGAATGGAACAAGGGAAATGGGTGGTGGGATGGCCCTAGCCTGGGAATTGTTGGTGACTGATTACTGCTGGATGAGGGAGAGTAGATGTTGCTTAAGATCTCCAGATAGACTGATTATTCTCCAGTGGATGAACTTGCCCTGAATGACATCTGGGTACAAATGCTTGACCAGATAGGACTTAACATGTAGGACAGAATGCATAAGGTTGGTGTGTATGGGGGCGCCATATGTGGGAGCATGGATGGGGGAGGAGGGGTCTAAATTTGATTTAGAACTATCATGTGAAATGCAAAAGAAAACTCAATAAAATAGTTTTTTAAAGTCTTTTTAGAGAAAATGTGGTAGATGTCTGCTCCTGTACTGGGTAGATTTTCTGAAACTTGTCTAGATGGCCTCCTTTATCCTTGAGCAAAGTTCTAATTACCCAGAAGCCACACCTGCAGGTCTCCAAGAGTGGCTTGAGAATAGTGTGGGGAATGTGGTAAAGTGACATTTATGTTCTCTAGAAGCTTAGTATCTGCCAGAGAGCCCATTAGACAGTTTATGATCGATTCTTTACTTGTAGAAAAACTATAGGGTCATCAAAGGAAAAGGCAAAATTTAAGAAGGTTTAAAAGGGTGAATAAATTTTCAATCACAGTGTTGAAGGTGGGCATATTTAAAGAGTTACAAAAAACACAAAATCACTAAGGTAGCAGAGAACACATGGCCAGTATTCTAATGTATTTACTTTATCTGGTCAGCAGCCCACATCCACTTCCATTCTTCCATTTGAGAATTTGCCTATCTCATTCTGTGTTATCTTGGTGGGATGGTGTTCTAGTTTGCTTTCAATTGCTGTGACAAAACACTCTGACCAACACCAACTTGGGGAGGAAAAGGGTTTATTCAGCCTACAACTCCCAGGTCGAAGTTCATCGGGGAGCCCAAGGTAGGAACTCAGGGTAGGAACCTGGAGGCAGGAACTAGAGCACAGGCCGTGGAGGATCACTGCTTACTGGCTTGCTCCCCTGGCCCCTGATCAGCCTGCTTTCTTATACAACACAGACCTGCCTGCCCAGGGGTGGCACCACCCACAGTGGCCTGGGCCCTCCCACATCACCCAGTAATCAAGAAGATGCCCCACAGACATAACCACAGGTGAGTCCAATGAAGGAAATTCACCAATTGAGGCTTCCTCTACCCAGGTGTGCCAAGTTGTCAACTAAAGCTGTCCAGCACAGATGGTACCTCTGTATGTGTTACATCACTAAACCAAATCCAAAGGAGTCTTAGATTCTAACTTTTCTAGCTCCTAACTCTTGCAGTTAAAAACAGAATAACATAAGTGTAGGAATGAGTTTTAAGCTTGACCAGTCAATAGATAATTATAGCTGTGATGGTTTGGGATAAAGCCATGCATACTTTGTTAACTAACCATTCTCCTATTGCAAAATAATTGCTGGCTGGCTCCAGGACTATGGTAGAGACTAACCATATGGACAGAGGACTTGAAACATTAAAACACTGGACACAGTCATCATGAAGGAAAGATTTTTTTGGCTCATCACCTCAGTGCTACCATCAATGTTCATTTCTGACTTTAAAAGCATCCAATAAACAGATTACTGATATACTTTAATAACTACAAAGACATTACACATTTGATTTTTAGGTGAAATAGCTTACTAACTACACTTTCTATAATGGGTTTTTAGTTTTGAACAATCAATAGCCATCTATTTTGAGCACTTCTTAAGTAAAATGCAAGATACTAAAGTTTATCAAACTGAACTTAAGATGATTTAGACTTGCTCTGTGGGTAATGATTCAAGTTTAGATCTTGTGTTTCAGAGAAAAAGGCTGGAACCAAGGAAAAATGTAGAATCCATTGACCTTGAATAAAATTCCCAATTTCCCACTAAACACATAATGGCATTGACCTGAGTTAGGAATTCCTGAGATAGCTTTCTTGTCCATTCTCCCTTAACAAAAGTTACTTAGCAACATCTTCACATAAAACAAAGTACGTGAGGTCAGTTTGTGCCCACAGCTCCTGGCAAGGACTGAAGCATATAGTAATGATGACATACTTTTCACCGATGCTATACAATGTGAATTTTTTCCAAGACAAGTCAAGGTGACACCACCTCTGTACGTCCAAATCAGGCAACTTATCTCTGAAACCAATTCATGCTAACAATCAAATATTTTTCAGTACCCTTATGTAACATGGCAGGCAGTGAAAAACTAAAGGTGTTTATGCCAGAGTCTAGCAGAGGGTAGAATGTAAAAACAAGTGAATGTTGAAACAACTTTGTGCCAAGGGGTATATATTATTCTCAGATAAATACTGTGTATTATGGGACTGGAGAGATGACTCAGCAATTAAGAACACAAGCTGCTCTTGCAGAGGACCCGGGATCAAATCCCAGCATCCAGAGGGTAACACCTGTCCATGGCTCCAGTTCCAGGGGATTCAATGCCCTCTTCTTACCTCCACAGGCATTTCACCACACAGGTTCACTTGCATACGTGTAGGCAATACACTCATAAACATAAAAAGATAAATAGATGTTTAAAGTACTATGTATTGTGGATTATTATTTAACTTTACACATGAGGAAAATGGGTTAAATAGGATTCACTTAATTAAATTGAGATTATAATTACTAAATTCTGGGGTGTTTTGTTACGAAACAACAGCTAACTGATACAAGTGTCTACACTATCTAATACACTATCCAACTTACTGACATACACATAAATTTATACGTAATATTTACTTTCTTAGCTTTTCACTTAAAATCCTAGCACATTTCCAAAGATAATATTTAAAAGTACAAGAACCTATATTAATATAAATATGTTTATATTTATGAACATATAAGTATCCATATGCTTGGATCTATTAGGGGATTTGTGTCTTAATTCTCTTTTAAAATATTTTGCATTCTTGCCATGTTCCAGGATCAAAAGTAAGCATTAAGGAGGAATAAAACAGTGACCCTTCTCTCGACAAGTTCATAGTCAAATTGCAAAAAAAAGTAAACATGTCCAAGGTTGCAAACAAATTTATTAAAAGACAAAATAGTCAAAATAGTCTTGGAGTCTAGTTGCAAACGTGAGTTTTTACAGTGTGCCGAGAGGTTTCACAAACATAATCTGAGATGGGTATTTGAAGATGAAGAGAATGGTAACACACACAAAAAAAATGGACATACTCTGGTTAGAGGGTCTGCGAAGAATGAGAGCAGCAGAGCCGTGGGAGCCGTGGGGGTTGGTGTGTCAGAAGCAGCAGAAGCGGGTGAACCTGGAAGCCAAGTTCAAATTACGTGGGGAGAGACTAAAGGGCAAAACTTTTCTCCCAGTGACAACAGAAATCACTAAATGGTGTGAACTGGGGTAAAAAAAATGTGATTAGATCTGGACTTCAGGTTACAAAAACCAAAAAACTACAGCGCAGGGACTGTTCTCCCTTCTTTTCCTGAAACTATATTGGCAAAGACTAAATTGTTAAGTCATCTCTCCAGGAATATATTCTTGAATAACTACATTTTCTGAATTGTTCTCTTATATTCAATTTAGTGTTCTATTGGGCCATAAACCTTTCAGTAATTGAAGTATTTCAAGACCTCGTTAGCCTGAGACTAGCAAGATGAATGTGGTGAGTTTTGGCTTGTAAATGGGGCAAATCCCTCTACAACAATGACCGAATCTCACTCAGGTTTCCTTGCGCAATGCTGTCTGCAGGAGATGCTCTCAACAATCTCAGAGAAGACGACAAAATCCCAGCCAAGGAGCATGGAGAATGTTGAAGCAGTTGATTTGGAATGGTTTGGACTTCAGAGAGCTTCTCCGTTGCAAAGCAAAGTCACGAGATTCATAAAACAGTTGAGAAATATAATCCTGCCTATCCTCTTATCATTCAAATTTCCTTGACCATCAACCATTCCTACTAGGTTTCTCTGCTCTCCACCGCGACCTAAGAAGAATCTTCTGACATTTGTGTGTGCGAGCGAGCGACTCATTGTAATTCCTGAAGCAAGACCTGCTGAAAATCATTTACAAGCTCTGCATTGCAACTGAGAGATGCTGGGAATTCCAAAGGCCCTTGGAATGAGGAGCTAGGAAACGGAGCATGGAAAGCCTTTGCATCTGAGCCAAGCTCCAAGGGGGAGCAAGGCAAATGAGCAGAAATGAGCGGAAGTAAGCAGGTGAGACTGGTGGCAAACTCAAGTGTGTTGTCCAAATGAAGGGCAAAGTTGATTCCAGGCCCAGCAGATTATACCAGGAGGAATGTAGATTGATAGATGTTAGAAGTTTTTTAGAGAAATAGAGAATTTTAAAGAAACTTTTGTTGTTGTTATGTGTATGCATGTATTGCCTGCATGTAGGTAAGTGCACCGGTGTCGTACAACGCCCGAGGAGATCAGAGAGGCTGTCGGATCCCCTGGGCCTGGAGTTACAGACAGTTGTTAGCTACCATGTGGGTGCTGGGATTCGAACTCGGGTCTTCTATAAGAACAACCAGTGTTCTTAACTGCTGAGCCATCTCTCCAGCCCCAGAAAAATAGAGAATTTTAATTTTGACTTTTTTGAAAAAAGATTTACTTCATTTGGGAGTCTGGAAAGATGGATCAGTGGTTAAGAGCACTGATTGCCTTGCAGAAGACCCAGAGGACTTGGGTTCAGTTCCCACCACCCATATGGCAACTCACAACTGCAAAAGACTCCAGTTCCAGAGGATCCAATGCCCTCTTCTGGCCTCCACAGGTACTGCATGCATATGGTGTGCATATATATATATATATGCATATATATTTATGCAAACACTCATATACATGAAATTTTTAAAAATAAATTTTTAAAAAATCTCAGATTTTTTGTTTTATTTTTAATTATGTATATATGTATGTGCATCTGTGTCTATGCATATGTGCATAAGCCATCTCTCCAGCCCCCAAATGAATTTTTAAACAAATTCCATTGTTACCTATCATGTGCCAATTAAAACACATGTGAGTGGTATATAACCAATGCCCTGCTTGATTTCTACCTAGGGTTTCAAGGAGCAAGTGTCAGATAAGAGACACACAAGGAGGAAAGGAAGCCTTCAGTATAACCAAGGTATCTTCAGAAACCAGATAATGAAAAACCTCTGAACTTAGGAAAGCCACAGCCCTGTTCCAACCTAAGGTGGAGTACTCTGAAGAGAGTATCTGGAGTCCCAGAAAGGCAGTTGGAGACATGAAAAACCATGTAACTGTCCAACAGAAATTTCTACAGTGATAAATGGAATTCTCCATATCTGTGGTAATTAATATTGAAACCACCAGCCATATATGGTTATTAAGCACTTGAAATAAAATTGACATGACTGTGGAACCGGATTTTAAATTTCATTTTAGATCATTTAACTTTTTAATGATCTATATATTTACTTTGCATTGCATTTGTTCTTACGCTGCAGAACCATGCCTGAGAATCGAGGGAGGGAGGGAGGGAGAGAGAAAGAGAGAGACAGAGAGAGAGAGAGAGAGAGAGAGAGAGAGAGAGAGAGAGAGAGAAACAGTGGACAGCCTTATCCACCCAGCATAGGTCATTTAACTTTAAATGTAATAGCTCTCTGTGTTAAGCAACTACACTGCAGAAGCTCCAATGAGTGAAACATACATCAGATTCACGGGCAGTACTTGTTAAAGCAGACCACTGACTGCCACTTAGGTGAGCTTCAAATTCAATGGGCATGGCGTAGGGGGTCTCGGGATTTTCATTTAGAGAAAGTTTCTAGGTGATTTTGCTGCTGCTGTCTCATGGGATGAAAACCTAGTGGCATCAATTTTCAGATTTCTAGGACTGAGTGTGACCCTGGAGAAGTGACAGCTGGAAAAAAAGAAGGAAGGAAGGAAGAAGGAAAAAAGGAAGGAGGGAGGAAGGAAGGGAGGGAGGGAGGGAGGGAGAGAAAAGGAGGGAGGAACCTAGACTTCCTACAATTGCCTCTACTATGTTAGAGGATGGGGGCGGGTGGGACTCATCACAGCCATCAACAATTTTGCTCTGTTTTGGAGATAAGATTTGCTTTAAACCAGAACACAGTGCCAACCTTCTTGGGTGGCCCTGAATCTTAGTTCCACTCCAGCAGGAGGGAAAAGGGAAAATCCTGGATCATCATGACCCAACTAGACACCTGGCAAAACCCATATGACACAAAACTTGACTAATATTTTCCTTGATGTGCATAGCCTTAGTGAAGTAACTTATTTATCCTTCAAACATACTATTAAATATCAGTTCAGGTCAACTGCAGCCTTGTGCCCTAGAAAACATATTTCAGGTATATGAAAGAAAACAGAGGCTCCTAGTTCTCCTCCTAACTCTTTCTTATTTAAAATTATAAATGTCAGGACTTGCTTTTAAAACACATTCAAGGAATTTCAAAGATATGACCCCTCTGTCTTAATCCTAATATAAACTAATTCTAAGAGAAGTGAGAGAGAAGTAACACCTAGCAAGTTTGGAGGAGCACAGAGACTAGAAAAAAAGTCTCCCAAACTACTGCCAAATGTTCCATTTAATCCTAAGGTTTACTTACATGAAGGTTCTCAGTGGTCTGAAGAGCAAAGTATTTTAATCTCAATGTCTATCCTAAGTTGTCAGCATTCTGTTCATCCCCCAAATTAATATTTTGAACCATGTGGCTCCAGATGGAAAATTTATGCTTCTAGCCATTTGTGGAAAACTCATTGTTTCTATGACCCATTTTCCATGTCCACATCCACTTTCAGTGTCCAATACTGACTGGGATGTGCTTATGACTTGCAACAGGCAATGATAAAATAGTAAAGAAGGCATAAGCAAAGACTCTAAGCACTTCTACACTTTTGATTCTCCATATTTCCTACACTTTCATCTTCAGAAGAGTCTGATAGAGCAAGAGGACTATAGAACAGAGCTGATTATCTAAGTCTGCTATATTAGCTAACCTGATCTCCCAAATAAATGAAAGAATTCACTTTTGATGAATAATTTTCTTTTGTAGGCTTGTGGCTGGCCATTGAAAATCATTTGGGTATGACTTGTTACACAGCCATGGCTAACTAATGCTCCATATGCCTTCAATACGATATCAATTATTATAACTTAGTGGTAGATCATATGGTAATAAAGTTACTCGCACACATGTACATTTCTGTTCTTACATTTATTTCAAACTCTGCTAATGGACTCTATAAGGAAAAGTTTAAAGGAAAAAACTGAAATCTTTATTCCTTCAGATATCAGCAAATCATTGTCAATCTTAGTAAATCCAAGGAAAGTTTTCACACCTGAGAGCTTATTTTTACCATATGATCACAGTCCTAGAGATTACCCTAAAAAGGAAGAAAATTAAAACCTCCTCCATAGAAGTTCTGTCCACTCCCTTGTGGGCTGGCGGTTGCTTTCCATTTTACAACATCAACTGAGTTTCCAGGGGTACAAACTGTCCACCAACATCAGGCAGGCAGCCTGATAGTCTTAACAGGACCCCTGCTGATGCACATCTCTGTTCTCCACTCAGCTGTCCCATCCTGCAGCTACAGTTCTAAAGTTACAGGACAGTTTCTAACTTTGTGCCTGTCCCAAGGCATCAGGACCCAGGCACATGATCTGTAATTTATGAGGACACCCACAGAGCTGTCACTTGTAAGGCAGGTGTTGAGAAAATGGCAAGCAGCTCTAGGAAAGAAAAGAACTGTGATCTCACCCTTGAATAATGGTGGCCAAACTAGTCATGGATAGAAAGCGTTGACATAAGCGAGCTTTAAAAATAAAGCAATGGCTCATCTTGCTGAAGGCGTTCTGTCTCTACACAGTTGAACATGATGGAATTCAAGTGATCTATGGAAAAACAAGGTGGACTGTATATTCTGAGGCTGCTGGTGCAGTTTTTAATTGTGTTTTGCAATCTAAACTACCAATTTCAGGGGTCTTATGGACCAACAGCACAAATCAAAATTCAAGCCAAATAATTTCCCATAATGATGTGGATCATAATCTCCTTAGGAAAAAAAGATATAAAATGGAAACCTGAAGAAATTAGCTTTGAGTTAGGAAAACTAAATTGAGAACAAGATTTATTTACTCATCTAATACTTTTAAATTCAGTACACTGTGAGTCAGTATGTTATCTGTGTGGCATTTTTGTGCTGAAGCTTGGGGTATAGTTCAATATATGAGCTCGTGATTTGAATGTACAAGATCCTAGGTTAAATCTTCAGGAGAAAAGTGTCAACTAAATTTGGTTTCATCTCAGCTTATTTCATATTCCAATTGACAGTAATATTTCAGAGACTAATTACTATTCTAATCTTAAATTGGTTAAACAGATTGGAAATCTACCTGCAGGTAGAAGCTTAGTGAAA